GATAGATAGATAGATAGATAGATAGATAGATAGATAGATAGATAGATAGATAGATAGATAGATAGATAGATAGATAGATAGATAGATAGATAGCAGAAAAAAATAGCAGAAGGTGGCCACATGTCCCTTTGAGTTTTCAAATTCATTTGAAATTGATGTTGTATAGCTCCAGTAGGTAGAATATAGGATCCTGTTTCAAATAGACATCTAGTATTTTCTCAGTTTTGATGGAATTTTGATCCAATATCACAACAATAATCAGTCAAACACGAAGATCCTGCATACAAATCCATATGCTGCTAGAAACATGGAATGTGGACATTAGAGCTTGCAGATGTGGTTGTGTTAAAAAAACAAACAAACCACAAAACAAAGGCACTTCATGAAAATGTATTGCTTTTTTAGTATATCCACAAAAATTAGACCCATGCATAAAAAGCAATGAGAACCACCTCTGTGAGTAGTATGCGGAATCTGCCGTATTTAACGCTCAGATATTAATGTCTGCTACAGGACATAAAAAGGTCTCTAAATTATTTAAAATGATCAATCGGAAGGGAAAATCATCTGTAAGTGGTGTGGTTTTAAATGAATGGCATGTTCCAGCAATCTCTGACAAGCCCAATCTGCTGTCACATGACATCACATCATATGCAGTGAAATATTTTTTTAATAGTTAAAAGAATATTTGAAGCTAAATATAACTAAGCTTTTTTTAAAAAAAGAAAAAAAAGGCAGCGGTTGACGTCTCCTCCATGACTCCTGCTTAATTCAGTTGAGTCTAATTGGTTAGTGCCTGCTGTGTGGTGAGTGAGGATGTAAATGCAGGCATAGGTGCTTACGTCATCAGCACTTTGACTAATCTCTACAGTATGAGCAGATACCTGCAGACAGCCGTTGGCTGAAGCACTGCAGTGGGTGGCTAGAGATGTATTGTAACTATCACTCAAACAGTTCTTCATGGCCAAAAAGAAAGTTTCAAATATTCACAATGACATTCTTCTTTGGACAAATGTCACTTTGGGACCAACAAAACTGTCAAAATGAGTACAGACACATGGCACCATCTACATTACATATTCAGTGTCCACCAAGAAGCACAGATGAAAATGTCTGTCCGTATGCTGGCTACAATTCATTTAAAAAGCCGCATTGGTCAGACTCCATTAACCGACACTGTAATAGCTGGCGTTTATTTTATCTCCGCATGGTTTACAGATGGGTAATTTAACAATTTTCTTTTTAAAGTGCCACAGAAGTATCTTTTGTTATTTTCCTTAACTTGCGGCTAAATGTTGGCACTATGGTTTTGCTGCGGAGGCTCTGAGCTGTGCTTTGGGGCAGTATCTACACTGTTTGACATTCCGAGGGCTGAGAAATTGAACTTTGGGATCCATCAATAGAAGACGACGGGGAAGAAATAGAAAGCACTGAGACAGTGGGTAAGAGGGAGTGGGACAAGGGGAGAATAAAAGAGCAGGGGAGTGGGAGAGGTGAGAGGAGACTGAGGAGAATAAGACAGACAAGCAGTAGGTGCACAGGAGGAAGGTGGCTGGCTTTTAATGGATTCTTGCAGGATTGTTTTTTGAGCTGAGAAACACCAGCAGCCTGCTGATAGAGGTCTGAGAACAAATAACACAATATACAGAGAACAAAATGTGCACTAAGAAGTCTTTCCCATAAGGCTATAAATTAATGCCACTGCATGCATTTGTAATTAGCTTTCAGCTGTCTTGCATGTTTCTGTAACTTCATCCAGAACGTGAGTGAAAGGAAAATCAATTCAATTAACTAAACCATGAACTATTGATGGACCTTTAATCAAAGCTGCACTAATCAATAGTTTTACATTAAAAATAGAT